GCAGCGGGACCGGGGGGGCAAGAGGGAACCGGGGATGCAGCCGGGGCCCATGGGTGCAACGGGGGTCCCGGCCGGTGCAGAGGGACCCAGGGTGCACGGAAGGCCTGGGGGGAGCCGAGGGGTCCCGGGGTGCCCGGTGGGGCAGATTGAGGAGCCGGGGGTCCTGTGCGAGCCGGGGGTCCCCGGTCCCCGTCCTGGGGACACCCCGCAGGGTCGCCGTGCAGCCCGGGGCTGCCCGCGGGTACCGGCACCGAGCGCTGCGCCCCGCGGAGCTGCGGCGGCCCCGCTGCGCGGAGCCGGTGGGATGCGGATGGGAAGAGGGCCCCGGAATCCAGGGCAGAGCCAAAGCGAGCAGCCGCTCGTGGGAGGCCTCAGCTGCTCCACACCGCAGCGCAACTGCTGGCCCTTGGGAGAGCACTGGCTGCAGCCGAGCGGGCAGCGGTCCCACCGGCACCCACGGCCAGGACCAGGACCGGAACCAAGACAAGCATCGGAACCGGGACCAGGAGCGGGATGGGGGGACTCGAACTCGCGACAACGCAGGCGCCGCCTGCCAGGCCCCGCCGCCGTTGCTAGGGCGGGACCTCGAGTTGCTAGGGGGCGTGTCCTTCAGGTTCAAGCCCCGTCCCGTTGCAGCCATCCTCGCGAGATCTGACTTCCTGTTGCCTGGAGACGGCGGCGCGGGCGGGTGCAGCCATGGTGAGGACCGGGCCCGGGACCGGGACCGAGACCGAGACCGGGACCCGGCCGGGCCCGGGACCGGGCCGGGCCGGGCGCCGCGGGGGGTTCTGCGCCTGGGCCTGGGCCTAGGCCGGGCTCTGGTGCCTGGCCCGGCTATGGGCGCCGGGTTGAGCCCCTCGGTCCCGCGCACTCCCGCGTCCYGATTTCCCTCCGCAGGCTCCCAAAAAGAAGGGCGTCAGGAAGGGCAAGGCGGGCCGCGCGCCGGCCGTGGCGGACGGCGTGTCCCCCGAGGACATGAGCAAGGAGCAGGTGAGCGCCCGCCCGCGCGGGGCCCCAATCCGGCACGTCGCAGGCAGCGCGGCCCTCGTGCCGGTACCACGGCCCTGGTACCGGTTCTGTGGCCCTGGTACCGGTCTCGCGGCCCGCCCAGCGCCTCTCCTGCCCCCTCCGGCCTCGCGTCGCGCTCCCTGCCGCTGCCCTGCAGCGCTCTGCTYGCCGGCCCGCTGCCCTCGCTGCCCCAGGCCCGCCTGGATAACCCTGGCACCTCGCTTCCTCGCGCTGGTGCTGGGAGGAAGGTGCCYGACGAGGACAGGCCAGCCCGGTTACGTGCTCCGTGTGGTGTGGGTTTCCCTGCAGCAAGTGCCCTGCCTGGCAGGCAGGTGCTCTTGGAAGAGCCTTTCYGTGTCCTGCAGGCCCGCTGCCTGGCTGCTCGCAGCCCTAACTGGCGCAGACAGGTCTCTGCATGGCCTCGTGCTCAGCCCCGTGATCCTGGTGCCTTGCAGCCCGCCGCACTCGCCACAAAACACGTTTCCTCGCGAGCAGGAGGCTCCGCTCGGTGCCACAAGGAGCTGGAGGGTGTAGCCCCTTTCCTGTATTCAGCTCCTCCAGGAGCTGCGCTCGGGTTGGGCTCTGCTGGGCATCCTGCAAGCCCTGGAGAAGCTGCTCCTGTCCCAGGRACCCTTCTGCCTGTGAGATCTTCTGCTAGTGGCGTCCCAGGGGGGTGGTCCTGGCACTGGGAGACATGATACGAGTCCTGGTTCTTAGGGGAGGAAAATATTTCATTGCTCCCTTCTGGAGGCTGAGRGTTTGCTGCCAGGTCCTGTGCAAACCCCACTCCTTCCACATGTCTCTTGGCCCCTCTTGTCCTGCGCTTTCCTGTACCATTAAAAGCCACTGTGTCCCTCCAGGGTTATGACAGGATTTGCTATGATGTCCTGAAAGAACCTTGATTCAGTTTCTTCTTCAGGGGACATGTCTGCCCGAGGCCTCCTTTCCCCTTATTTGACTCTCCGCGTTGGCTTTGCAGCTGGAGGAACACGTTGGGCGTCTCCGGGAGGAGCTGGACCGGGAACGGCAGGAGCGCAACTACTTCCAGCTGGAGCGTGACAAGATTCACACCTTCTGGGAGATCACCCGGCGGCAGCTGGAGGAGAAGAAAGCAGAACTGCGGAACAAGGACCGCGAGATGGAGGAGGCGGAGGAGAGGCACCAAGTGGAGATCAAGGTGGGAGGCCAGGTGTGAGTGACTGGACTGGGMAGGAGCTGTGTGTGAGCTCGAAGAGGAGGAGACGGAAGGGAGGAAGAGGAGGAGATGGGCAGGATGCAAACCAGGGCATTTCAGCCAGTGCTGCAGCTCCAGGGAAGTTCCTGTCGGCACCTCCTGAAGCCCCTCGCCTGGCCTGCGGCTTGTGTCTAGGTTTACAAGCAGAAGGTGAAGCACCTGCTGTACGAGCACCAGGAGAACCTCACCGAGCTGAAGGCGGAGGGCACCCTGTCCATGAAGCGGGCCCAGAAGGACCACTGGGCCCAGGAGATGGAGCTGTGGAAGGATGTGCGCTCCTTGAAAGTGGAGCTCAAGGAGCAGGAGCTGGCCAACGAGGTGGTGGTGAAGAACATGCGCCTGGTGAGTCCGTGCCGGGAGGGACGGCGGCTCTGGACTGCACCGAGTGAGTGGCACACGAGGCTCATTTGTGGCAGAGGGGAGTGCTGGGGCCCTTGGCTGCTTCCCAGGGCTGCCCTGGGCTGCTGGTCCCTGCCCCATTGTGCAAGGAAGAGTGTCCTGGGCACGGGACTGCAGAGCGGGGTGTGGAGTTCAGTGCCCATGCTGTCCTGAGCTGCGCTGCCTCTGTTTTTATGAGGTGCACTTTGGCTGCAGAAGGGATGAGGGCCCCCAGCCTGCGTTGCATGGGGTGCAGTGACCTCAGCGTTGGGTTAGCAGCCTCTAACGTGCGCCGTCTCCGTGGCAGAAACAAGAGGAGGAGATCACGCAGCTCTGCAGTGACTTTGAGAGACAAGTGAAAGGTGAGGACATGCGGGACACCCTCTTGTCACTGCGCCGGGGGAGGCACCTCGGGGCTCGCTGCACTGCTGGGCCCCCTGCATGGAGCATCTTGCTCAAAGGGGCTGTTTTTCCGCCCCCTGCCAATTGCTGCTGCCCCAGTTGCTGCTGCCCCTGCTCCTGGGCTGCCTCGCCGCGCGGCCYRCGGCGCTCCGAGCTCCCGGAGCAGMGGGGCCGAGGCRCGGGCTCACGTGGAGGCAGGGCTGCTGTCACCAGGCCGCGCGCCGCAGTGGCCACGCGAGCCCTTGCCGGTGTCGCTCCGCGCTCGGCTGTGTCCCTGTCCCYRTGGGGRAYGTTGCAGGTTCTCCCGGGCTCACTTGGAGCCTTTCCAGTGCCCTGCTTCCAGGCTGCTATTTCTGGGCTCTGCTCCCTGTGGCTCTGCACGCGGGGCGGCGGGGACAGCGGTGCCATCGGTGACATCCCACCCCAGAGCGCGGCTGCCGCGGCGCGTGCCGGGCTGGCACGTCCCAGCCGAGCAGGGGGTGGGCGCAGAGCCGCCGCGCGGGTCTCGCTCAGCCCCCTCTGCTCAACCCAGAGATCGAGGCCAAGTACAACAAGAAGATGCAGGTGCTGCGGGACGAGCTTGACCTGCGCAGAAAGACGGAAATCCACGAGGTCGAGGAGAGGAAGAACAGCCAGATCAGCGTGCTCATGAAGAACCACGAGAAGGCCTTCAGTGACATCAAGAACTACTACAATGATGTCACCCTCAATAACCTGGCGCTCATCAACACGCTCAAGGTAGTGCCAGCCTCCTCCCCTGGCCCCACTGTCCCAGGTTGCGTGTGGAGCGTGGCCGTTCCACTGGGGAACGGGTCCTGTAAGGTTTGCACGGGAGCTGGCCACGGGTGCAGGTGCTGCTGCTGCGGCTCTCTTGGGAGAGCTGCTCGCACCGCTCGGGCGAAGCTCCTGCATGGGTGCAGCCGTGGCTGGCTGGGGATGGGGTCCCCGTGCAGCAGTGGGAAGGGGGTCCTGGCTGTGCAGTGCTCAGGGGCAGGTGGCAGCACTTGTGTGTTTCCAAGAACAGGAGCAGATGGAGGAGATGAGGAAGAAGGAGAATCACTTGGAAAAGGAGATGGCAGACATGCTGCTGCAGAACAAGCAGCTGACAGAGCGCCTGCAGCGGGCGCAGGAGCAGGTGTCTGAGCTGCAGAAGAAGTTGACCCACTACGAGAAGGACAAGGAGGCTCTGAGGGTGAGCGGCCTCTCCTGCTGAGCCCCTTCCCGTCCCTTCCCTTTCCAAGCCACCCGAGCTGCTGGCTGGAGCGGAGCTGCTCAGCACTGACCTCTGCTGCTCAGCCCAGAGCTGCTTGGCCGGAGTGCCAAGCAAATCCCTAAGCTTAGCTCCTTGATTACACCTCCCTTGGGACTCCCAGGGCTTGCTCTGAGTAGCCCTGCTGCAGAGAGGGAGGGAGATGCTTCAGGTACTGCCAGGATTTCTCACCCCTACACTTCTTTGCTGGTCACTGTCCTCCCTTGCTGGAGCTCATCCCACACCTTCCAGGGAAGTCTGCACTCCTTAATGATCTCTTCCCATYTCCAGAACACAAAAGCTCATTTGAAAGTCAGCCAGAAGGAACTGAAAGATCTTCAGTGGGAACACGAAGTGCTGGAGCAGAGGTTTGGTAAGGTGAGAGCTGCAGGTGGGCCTGGACAACCCCTTTCCTTCCTCAGARCCTCCCATCTTTGCAGAGGCTGCGGAGGCAGTGCTGAGCTAAGGGTTTTCTGAAGATCTGATGCAGTGCTGAGCGTTAGCTGCTGTTTCCAACAAAGCTTCTTGTGGCTTTGACATCTCCYGTGCTCAGCAGACAGGCCCGGCCTTGTACTTGGCTGAGCGATAACACACGCTCCGATGCTCCCCGGCCGGCCGGCGGACGCCTGGCTGCGGCAGCGGGTCCGGAGCAGAGCCCCCGGGGAGGGAGCTGGGGACAGTCCAGGGACAAACTGGGACAGGAGCCCTGTCACAGCCTTGTTCTGATGGAGTTTGGGGGTCACTGCCTCTGCTCGCTGGGCAGGGGCTGCTCGGGATGAGTTTAAGGAATATTGTGTTGTCTGAATTTGCCCAGACGCAGCCTCTCCCTCCCAGCTAACCCAGATAAATTTTCTGAGGCAGAGTAGAGCTCATTTGCAATTCGTAGAAATCCCCAGGAATATGAACATTGATCTGAGGCCTCRTTAGCAATCCGTCATTAAGGCAGCAACATATTCAGTGAATTCAGAAATAGGCTTTGGAGGAGACATCCTAATTAGGACACTTATTAACTAGCTGTGAGCCAGGGTCTCCTGCCAGTGCCGCCAGCTGCCGGGAGGAGAGGAGAGAGCCCTGAGTGCCAAGGGCATCTCGGGGCTCTAGAATAGCCCCTCGCACACGGGGCAGGGGGGAGTCACTCTGCTGCCTGCCRCAGCCGCCGGGTCGCTGCTTTGGAACAGGGAGGCTGTGGGCCTCCTTCTCTGGAGGTCCCCCAAACCCGCCTGGGTGCCGCCCTGTGCTCTGGGTGTCCCTGCTGGAGCAGGATGGTTGGACTGGATCATCTCCCTTCCAACCTCAACCATTCTGTGATTTGCGGGGCGTCCCGGGGAGCGCAGGAGGCAGAAGTGCCGAGGAGGGAAGCAGATCGGGTGCCAGGGGCACGGCGTGCCCCTCGCTGGGGCAGCCCGAGCTGCCGGGCCTGTTTGCTCTGTGGGCTGGTGCCACACGGCCACCTGAGCTGTGTCTGGGCACAGGTGCAGGCAGAGCGAGACGAGCTCTACGAGAAGTTCACCGAGGCCATTAACGAGGTGCAGCAGAAGACGGGCTTCAAGAACCTCCTCCTGGAGCGCAAGCTCAAAGGGCTCTTCAATGTCCTGGAGAAGAGGGAGGTGGAGCTCAACGAGGTGCTCGCAGCCTCCAACCTCGACCCRAGCGCCCTCTCCTTGGTCTCGCGCAAGCTGGAGGTACCAGGGCCCTGCGAAAGCTCCCGCCGCAGCAGGGCTGGGTCCRGGGGCAAACACAGACCGGGGACCCTGTGAGCGAGGCTGGGGCAGGGCTGGGCTGTGTGGTGGGGACGGGTCCCCCTCGTGCCCACGCTGGGGGCGTCTGCCCAAGGATGAGCCTGCAGAGCTGGGGTGCTGCGAGGAGCAGCTCAGAGGGTGGCCCAAGGATCCCGGGTCGGATGCGCCCCGTGAAGGGCAGCGCCCCCGGCCCGGGCTGCAGCGTGTCCTGACCGCCCTGCAGAGCAGAGCGCCAGGCTCCTGCCCTCACACGCTGCTCCCCACTCTCCCTATGGGAGAGCGGCCCCAGGCTGCGCCCCAGGCCTGGGTGCAGGTGGCACTTGGATCTGGGCTCCTTCTCCCAGGTGCACAAGGCAGGGAGGGCGCAGGGAGCTCGCAGACCCTCCGCGGCCCCTCGGCCTGGCCCCGCTGCCTGCAGACACGGTGTGGGCCGCTTCCCGGGGGCTTTGCGATGTCTGCCACGCTAAAAATACTAACGCAGGGAGCCGGTGGCGCGGCGGCGGGACTTGGAGCCCCGCATTCCTGGGGCCCRCGGCAGCAGTAACCGGAGAGGTGGCAGATCCCGTCCGAGCTGGGGACGCGGGGACTCGTGTTCCTCGCGTAGCTCGGCTCCCAGCTCTCCTGCTGCGCCCGCGCGGGTGCCCTCGCCATGGTGCCCTCCGTGGCGCAGCACTAACAAAGCGCGGGGTGCCCTCCTGCGGGTGCCAGGGGAGGGCCGGGGCCACCCCGGGGCTGTGCGCTGCGGCCGGCGCAGCGGATGTCGCCGGGGCGAGCGGCAGGTGCCGCAGCCTGCGCAGCGCATTCCCGGGAGGCGCCGCGGCGGCCGCCGGGGCCGCAGCTGCCGGCCGCCCCGCATTCCTCGCGCAGCTGCCGCCTTCACGGGGAGACTCTCAGCCCCTAATTCCCCCGGTGCCGCCGCGGCAGGGAGGGAGGTGCCGCCGGGAGCAGGTGGCACCGTCGTCCCTGCCGCGCAGGGCCCAAGGCTGACGCAGCGCGGGCGCTGCGGGGAGGAGTGCGGGCTGGACGAGGGGGCTGCGTGTCTGGAAAGGGCTGCTCAGTACCCTGGGTCCCCCTTGGGTCCTGCCTGCGCTGCCGGGGGCTGTCAGTGCTGGCAGTGCCCGTGGGGCTGCCGTGCGCCGCCAGGCCTGGTGCCACCGTGGTGCCCGTCCTGAGGCCCGTGTCCCTTTGCAGGACGTGCTCGACTCTAAGAACAACACCATCAGGGACCTGCAGTTCGAGCTGGCGCGCACCTGCAAGGTGAGGGAAGGGCACCGGCACCTCGCGTGTGTGTTGGGCACTCTGAGGGGCCAAAGGAGGCGCGTGGCACTGAGGGGCCGGCAGCACACAGGTGCCTTCCCTTGCAGGCGCACAATGACCTGCTGCAGACGTTCGAGGCGAAGCTGGAGGCCTTCGGCATYCCCCGCGACAGCCTGGGCTTCAGGCCGCTGGAGATGCCCCTGCTGGGGCAGAGCRCGGGGCAGGGCCCCGCGGGGCTCGTGGCGGCGCCCACGTGACGCTGGCGCCCGCGCCGGGCCACCCGGTGCCACTCGGGTGCTCCGGCCGGCGCCGRCAGCGGGGCTGGCCCTGTCTGCACCCCATTAAAGAGCCCCACTTGGGCACGGGCCTCCGGGTGTCCTCCTTTTTCCCAAGGTGCTGGAGCCACCTCAGCACCCAGGACAGGTGCCCAGCGGGGCTGCAGCAAGGTGCTCCGGAGCCCGCAGAGCTGCTTGGAGCCTTTAATGGTGCCGAGGGCCGCGGTGCCGCACGCCCCGAGCCGCCCCGCGCTCAGCTGCCCTGGTACGCGGTGTAGGAGTAGGGGCTGATCAGCAGCGGCAAGTGCAGCTTCTGCGCAGGGTCCGCGATGGTGAAGACGACCTGGGGCCGAGCGGAGGCAGCGGGAGGTGGAGCTGGTGCTGCCGCCTCCGTCCCGCCCACAGCAGGACCCGGGGCAGGTGCCGCCGGGCCCGTCTGGGCGCTGGGGCCCCGTTCTCAGCGCTCGGCGGCTCCGCGTGAGCCGCCGCTCCGGCAGAACCGGCCCGCGCCCGCGGCGGGACGCACCTCCACGTAGGGGTAGAGGCTGCTGTGGCCCAGGCCCTGCCAGTACGGCGCCGTCTCGAAGCGCAGCTTGTAGGTGCTGGCCGCGGCCTGGCCCGGCGCCAGCAGGGGCAGGCAGCGCCCGTCCTCGTCCGTCACCCTGCGGCGGAGCAGCAGCCCCTGCGGCAGCCGGCCCGGGGCAGGGCGCCGCAGCCGCCCTCCRGCCCTACCTCTGCACCAGCTCCGTCCACTGCGTTCCCGGGCCCTGCAGCCGCGCCAGGCGCAGCGCCAGCCCCGCCGCCGGCCGCCCCGTCACCGTGTTGAGCACGTGCGTGGTCACGGAGCCCTCCAGCTGCTCCGAGGAGCCCTCGGCCTGCGGAGGAGGGAGCAGAGAGGCCGGGAGCGCCTGTGGCACTGTTCGCCCCTGCTCGCGCTGCGCCTGGTGTCCCTCTCGGGGACGCGGTATCCCAGCTCCAGGCCCTGAGGATGTGGCCCTGACCTGCCACCCTGCGAGCCTGCAGTGACACGCGGTGTCACCGCATGGACTTTACCCATGCGGAGGCTCTAGGGGCGCCGGGCGTGCTCGGCAGGATGGACTGTGCCGCGCTCGCTGGTGCAGGGGAGGCTGCGGCCGCCGCTGCTCCCGGCAGGACGGGCTGTGCCGCCCGCGCCGCGCTCGCYGGTGCAGGGGAGGCTGCGGCCGCCGCTGCTCCCGGCAGGACGGGCTGTGCCGCCCGCGCCGCGCTCGCCGGTGCAGGGGAGGCTGCGGCCGCCGCTGCTCCCGGCAGGACGGGCTGTGCCGCCCGCGCCGCGCTCACTGCTGCAGGGGAGGCTGCAGCCACCAGGGCCATCAACCCAGCTGCCCCGCGCCCGCCCGCCCGCGTACCTGCGCGCCCTCCGCGGTGCCGAGCCGCCCGCGCGACCCCATGGCGCTGCCGTCGCCGCTACCCGCGCTCCTCCCCGCGTGCGGGCTGCAGGCGGCTCCCGTGGGCGGCGCCGGGCCCTGGGCACCACGGGCGCCGCGCCAGGAGGAGCCACGCGCCAGCGCCGGAGCAGGGCGCCCGCGGGCTCACCTGCACCGTGATGACGGCCGTGGCGGTGCTCCTGAGTCCCGTGCCCTCCATATCCGCAGCCTGCACCTCCAGCGTGTACTCGGGCACTCCCTGCAGCCAAGGGGACACTGTGCACCCGTGTCCGCAGGGGCCGGGGGCACCGAGCGCCCGCGCGGGGACGCGGGCCGGGCCTCACCTCCGCCTGCAGCCCCGGCGCCGCCACGGAGATGACGCCGGTGCTCTTGTCAATGGAGAACATGGGGCTCTGCGAGTCCGGCCGCTGGTGCAGGATGGAGTAGGTGACCACCCCGTTGAGGGAGCTCACGGCGTCGTCCGCATCCGTGGCCAGCACCTGCATCACGGAGGTGCCTGGGAGCAYGGAGAGCTGATGGTGCCGGCCCGACCCACCGCCCCACGAGCCCCACGGCCACCCACTGCCACCGACCTGGCGCGGCCCCCTCCGGCACGGAGCCATGGAAAACCGCCTGGGAGAACACGGGCCGGTTGTCGTTCTGGTCGGTCACGGTGATGATGATCTCCATGGGGTCCTCCACGGGCTGCCCGTTGGCCGACACGGCGTGGGAGAAGAGCTGCGGGGCGCGTGGTCAGAGTGGCACGGGGACGCGGCCCCGCGGCCGCCCCGGCGCCYGGCTCACCACGTATCTGCTGATCTCCTCCCTGTCCAGCRRCTKCGTCACCTTCAGCCACCCCGTCTCCCGCTCGATGGTGAAGACGCCCACGGGGGGGGTGTCCGCCCCCTGCCCCGTGATGCTGTAGAAAACCTTGGTCTCCTTGTCCTTGYTGGACTTGATCTGGAGGCAAGAGGAGGGGAGGTCAGGGGGACTCGCGGCTCCTGCACGGGCACGGGGACGAGGTGCCACCTACCTGCACRAGGTTCTTGGGGAAGGGGCCGCGCTCGTTCTCCGAGCAGCTGATGGGCGGGATGACCCAGTCCCTCTTCTGCCTCCGCAGGGCTCCGGGCGGCGCGGGCAGCGCCGCGAGCTGCAGGGCCGCGGGGCGCTCGGCTCTGCCCGCGGCTCCAGCCACCCCCGGGGCTGAGCGCGGCTGCTCTGCGCCCGGCAGCGCCCCCGCYGCACGCCCGACCGGCAGGGCCAGGAGGAGGAGGAGGGCGAAGGCAGCGGGCACCATGGCTGCCGCCTGCTCCTCCGGCGCTGCAGCTGCTCCCAGTGCTGGCTGACAAAGTCCGCGGGGCAAGGCCGGCTCCCGGGCATGGGGCAGGGCCCCGGCCCCYCCCGGCCTGCGCCCCTGGCGTCGCCCCAGGACCAGCCCTGCCCGCCGAGCGGTGGGGCCGGGGGCACTGAGGCCCCTCACAGGGTCCCCCTACCCGGTGCCGCAACGCAGGGCCAGCCCGGCTGCCCATCCAGCCCCCYGCGGGGCCCCCACCCACGAGTGTGTGTCCGTGGGGACCCTTCCACGGRGGACCCATCTGGGAGAGGGGGTACACATCTACAGGAGTCCCCGCCGTGGATGCCTGTCCACGGGGTGGCCTCCACGAGTCCCCGGCTCCGGGGTCCCGTCCGTGGTGCCGCATCCCGGGGTGCCCGTGTCCGCTCCGGGGCTCGGCGGGGCGGCGCCGCGGGGGGGGCCGAGGGCGGAGCGGGCCGGGCCGGGCCCCCCCCGCCGCGCTCCCCGACGGCACCGCCCGCGCCGCGGGCGCCTCTTTCTGCTAATGGCGGCGCGGGGCGGGAGGCGGCGACGGCCCGGCCCGGCCCGGCCCGAGGGGACGAACTCGCGGCCCGCGGCACCGGAGCCCGACGGGGCCCAAACGCAGCCCTGAGAGCCGCCGGGGCTGGGGGGGGGGCTGCGCCCACCGGGCGCCCCCGGCCCCGTGATGAGCGGGGCGGCGCAGCCCGAGGGGCCCGCGGGGCCGCCGCGGTGCTCGGGGCGGGCGGCGGGGCGGGCCGGGGCGGTACCTGCCCGCGGCGGCCTCACCTGGAGCGGCGCGTTAAAGGCGGCGGGGCGGGACGGGGCGGCGCAGCGCAGAGCCGGGCCCGGCGGCGGCGGACGGGCCATGCGGGGGCCGCGCGGCGGGCTCGGCCCGCGCCTGCTCCTCCTGCTGCCGCTGCTACCGGCCGCCGCCGCGCTCGCCGCTGCCCCCGGTGCTCCCCCCGGTGCTCCCCCGCGCACAGGTGAGTGCGGCCCCAAGCGGGGGCAGGGGCGGCCGCCCCGGGGGGCATCGGGGGGAACGGGGGCGATACCCCCAGCGGGCACCGGTTGCCCCGGGGAGGCGAAATCTGTCGCCTTGCTCCGGAGCGCGGCTGCTCCTGGGGGGCCGGGGACCGCCCCAGACCGGGTCCCGGGAGGCTCTTTCCGTGCCCGGGGGTCTCGCTGCGGCATCTCCCGGGGATGGAGCTCGGCCGTGGCCGGGCTGGGGTCCCCCGGGTGCCGGGCCAGGCTGGGGGGSCGGTTTGCGCCCCCGGTGCGGGACCGGACCGGGGTCGGCGCTTCCCGGTCTCCGGGCCACGCTGCGCCCCCGGGCGGCCCCGCGCTGGGGAGGGGCCGGCTCTGCCCCCCGGGTGGGGGCTGGGCCGGGGGCTCGGCCCTTCCCAGCCTCTTGTGCTCCCAGTCCACCCGCCCCTCTCCTCGCTGTGGGGCTGATCTCGACCAGGGCCCGGGGCGGTGGGGCGGCCCTGCCCCAGGACCAAGTCCCTCAGCCTGGCCTCGCCTCGGGGCTCCGGAGCCGGCTCATCCCGGCGCCGCAGCCTCCGCTCCAGCCTGGCCCAGGGCCCTGGGGCGCCCACAGCCCACGGGCAGGGGGGGTGCCGGGCCGTGCAGCGCTGCAGGGTGGGTGCCCTCGCTGCAAGGGAGACCAGGCCCAGGCGCAGCCGCTGCCGCAAGCGTGGGAGCCGCCGCTGGCGGGACATGGCACGGGCTGCCCGCTCGGGGCCTCCCGTGGGGACGGCTGCCTGGCCGCCCGTGCCAGCTTAATGGCTGCGGGCGCCAGAAGCTCCACAGCAAGAGCTGCGTTGGGCCGGGGTGCAGCCTCACCCTGGCCAGCCTGGCCATGAGCGGCAGGAGCCAAGTGCTGCAGCCCTGGGGGGCTGCAGGGGGGCTGGCCCCAGGGGCTGGCCGTGCACGGTGGCTATGGGGTACAGCGCTGGCCCTGCTGCCCAGCCCCCTGCAGCAGCGCCCGGGGTGAGGGGCAGCTCCCCGCGGCAGTACTTGCCCCTGCAGAGCAGGGCACCGCGCACACGGGGACCGAGGCCTGGCCCCGTGACGCCGCCGCCATCATCTGTCCTTATTGCCCCTGCCAGGCAGGGAGAGCCTGTTGGCTCTGCCCCCGGCACCAGAGCTGTCCCCGGGGTGCCCTGCGGCCTCACGCGGGGCCTCCAGAGCGGGGCCGGGCTCAGCGTGTTGCGCAGCCTCCCATGGCCTTGGCGCCCGGCGGCACCTCCGAGCGGCCGACGGAGCCGCATTATGGAAGCTAATCCCCTAATCCCGCAGGCTGCCGGGGTGTGAGGGGAGCAGACGCATCCGGTGCCGCGCGGACGATGCAGCGGGTGCCCCAGGGCGAGACGTGGAGGGCTGGGAGCAGGGCTGCTCCTGGGAGTTCCCATCACTGGGAAATCCTGCTGGGCGCCGGAGCGCGGCGCCGCGGCGGCCGCCCCGCGGGGGCTCGGGGCAGCTCCCGGCTGGAAGCCGCCTCCTCCCTCCCCGCGTGCCGCAGCCGGGCCAGCTCTAATGCGGATCACGAGGCTCGCAGGGCTGGCCGGGGGCCGAGCGCGTGGCAGCGCGAGGAGCCGKCCTTGGGCCGAGGGAGCCGCTCCGGAGCAACCCCGGAGCTCCAGGTCCCTGTGATCCGGGGCCTGACTGCAGTGCAGGGGTCACATCCTGCTCCAAGGTGTCCACTGGGACCGACCGTGCTGTCTTGCAGGGGATTTCGGAGACCAGCGCACGGCAGAGGAGCTCTGGGTGCCCGTGGAGGGGCCGCTGGTGTCAGGACACCCGCAGGTAGMGCCCCGGCCCTCGGGGCCCTGCCCCGCGCGGTGCCCGCGCACCCTGCGCCTCATCCTGTCCCTTCCCCGCAGGAGGCTGCTGCAGCACCCGGGCCAGCACCCGGCGGCCCCCACGCACCCCTGCGGAGGCGGAAGAGGGACTGGGTGATCCCTCCCATCAAGGTTCCTGAAAATGAGAGGGGGCCCTTCCCCAAAAAAATGGTCCAGGTGCGGACGTGTCCATTTGGGTCTCGATGCTTGGGTAGCGCCACGTGCATCAAGGGCACAGCAAGGTGCCGGCCGTGCCCATCACCCCTGCGTCAGGGCTGTATCTTCCCCCCCCCCCAGATCAAATCCAACCGGGACAGGGAGTCCAAGATCTTCTACAGCATCACGGGGCAGGGGGCAGACACCCCCCCCGAGGGCGTCTTCACCATCGAGAAGGAGACGGGCTGGATGAAGGTGACGCAGCCGCTGGACCGCGAGCACATGGACAAGTACCACGTAGGTGGCAGCGGGGGGGACGCCGGGCGCCTGGCGGGCAGGCGCCGCTCAGCCCTTCCACCCGCAGCTTTTCTCCCACGCCGTGTCGGAGAATGGGGAGCCCGTGGAGGAGCCCATGGAGATCATCGTGACGGTGACCGACCAGAACGACAACCGGCCCGTGTTCGCCCACGAGGTGTTCAGGGGCTCCGTGCCTGAGGGGGCTTTGCCAGGTAGGGGCGGGCTGCGGCGCCCTGGGGACCACAGGTGACTGTCCCTGGCACCGACGTGGCCGCACGTCCCTGCAGGCACCGCCGTGATGCAGGTGAACGCCACGGACGCCGACGACAGCGTCGAGAGCTACAACGGCGTCATCGCCTACTCCCTGCTGGGCCAGGAGCCGCGCCAGCCCCACGCGCAGATGTTCACCATCAACCGCGCCACRGGCACCATCAGCGTCATCGCCAGCGGGCTGGACCGCGAGGTGGGCGCGGGGGCGGCCGCGGGGCAGGGGTGTCCGTCCCCCTTGCGCGGGTGTCCTCACGGTGTGTGTCCCCTTGCAGCGCGTGCGGCAGTACACGCTGACCATGCAGGCGGCCGACCTGGACGGCCAGGGGCTCACCGCCACCGCGCTGGCCGTCATCGATGTCACCGATGTCAATGACAATGCCCCCGAGTTTGAGCCCAAAACGGTAACGCTGGGGACAGGGCACCATCCSCGTGCGTGATGGGGTTCATCCCCGTGCATAGCGGGGCTTGTCCCCGTGCATGGCAGCCCCAGACTCGCACATGGGTTGAGCAGCCCCGTGCATGGCAGTGATCGGCCCCGTGCACGGTGGCACCAGGCTCGTGCGGGGTGGTGATGGTTTCTGTACGTGGTGGTGGGCAGCCTCTTGCACGGCCGCACYGGGCTTATGCAGGGGTTGACTGGCCCTGTGCGTGGGTCGAGTCGCCCCGTGCACGGCAGTGCACTGCTCTGTGCACAGTGTCACCAGGCTCGTGCACGGGTCCAGCGGCCTCGCGCACGGCAGTGACCGTCCTGCGCAGGGGCGCCCAGGCTGGAGCAGGACGGTGCCGGGGGGCACGAGGCTCGTGCAGGCTGCGGCAGCGCCGGCTCCGCGCGYGGACGGGCCGTGGTGGCGGGCGGGCGCTCAGCGCTGTCCCCGCAGTACGCGGCGGCCGTGCCGGAGAACGCCGCCGGGCGGGAGGTGGCGCGGCTGGCCGTGACGGACCTGGACGAGCCGGGCACGCCGGCGTGGCGCGCCGTCTACTCCATCGTGCGCGGTGACRACGGCGGCGCCTTCTCCATCACCACCGACCCTGGCAGCAACGAGGGCGTCCTGCGCACTGCCCAGGTGCGTGCACGGTCGGGGGGCTCTCCACGTYCCCCCTAACCTGGCACCCGCTCACAGAGATGTCCCCCCCTCAGGGGCTGGACTACGAGGCCCAGGAGCAGTTCGTGCTGCTGGTGGYGGTGGCCAACGAGGCGCCCTTCGCCCTGCGGCTGCCCACGGCCACGGCCACGGTGACGGTCAGCGTGGAGGACGTCAACGAGGCGCCCGCCTTCGAGCCGCCGCTGCGGCTGGCGCGGGTGGCCGAGGATGTGCCGCTGGGACACAGCATCGGCACCTGCAGCGCRCGCGACCCCGACCGCGCGCAGGCCCAGAGCGTCACGTGAGCCGAGCGGGGGGCAGCGGGRGGTCCGGCCCCAGCGCCCGTGTCCCCCTCAACGCTGCCGCCTCCCCACGCAGGTACCTGCTGGCCAACGACCCGGCGGGGTGGCTGGCGGTGCAGCCRGACAGCGGGCTGGTGACGACGCGCGCCCCGCTCGATCGCGAGTCGCCCTTCGCCAGGAACAGCACCTACGCGGCCGTGCTGCTGGCCGTGGACAATGGTGAGGACCGCGGTCCCGCGGCTCGCGTGCCAGCAAGGGGGGGGTCCCCACAGGCCCCCCAACATTGCTGCCCCTCTGGTAGGAGCGCCGCCGGCCACGGGCACTGGCACCTTGCTGCTCACCCTGCTCGACGTCAACGACCACGGCCCCGAGCCCGAGCCCCGCGCCATCGTCGTCTGCAACCGCAGCCCCCAGCCCCAGGTCCTGGCCATCGTGGACCGCGACCTGCCGCCCAACACGGCGCCCTTCCACGCCGAGCTGGCCCACGGCTCGGCGCAGAGCTGGGCCGCCGAGGTCGGCAGCGACGGTGAGCGCGGACGGGKCCCTTAGCTGGTGATGGGTGGGGATGGGGGCCCTTAACCGGTGCCCGGGGCTGGGGATKCAGTGAGGGGGTGTTAGCTGAGGCCCGAGGATGCGCGGGGGCACCGGGAGTCAGCGCTGCATGCGGCTGGGCATGTCCTTAGGGTGCCGTTACCTGGTGCAGCCCAGAGACGGTGCAGCGTGGGGCTGCTTGATGCGCCTAAGGGGGCCATTACCTGGAGCCTGGGCATGCACGTGGGTGCTGCAGCCGCTGCAGCGTGGGGCTGCAGCTGCCTCTGTGGTCTGCTAGCAGGAGCCTGGGGATGCACGTGGGTGCCCGTAGCCAGTGCAATGTGGGGCTGCAGATGCATCTAAGGGGCTGCTGGCCGGTGCCTGGGGATGCAGCCGGTGCCCGGCGGGGCCTGACAGCCTCTCGCGCAGACACGGTGACGCTGCGGCTGACGGCGCCGCTGGAGCAGGCCCTGTACAGCGTCTACCTGCGGCTGGTGGACGCGCAGGGCAAGGAGCAGCTCACGGTGGTGGCGGCGCAGGTGTGCGCGTGCGAGGGGCACGCGGAGCGCTGCGCCGCCGCACCGCTGCCCGCCACCGCCACCATGCCCCTGCTGCTGGCCGCGCTGGGCGCCGTCCTCGCCTTCCTGCGTGAGTGCCGGGGACACGGGGGGCACAGGGACCCGGAGCGGGGTCAGGGCGCCGCTCACCCGCTCCTGCCCCCAGTGCTGCTGCTGCTGCTGCTGCTGCTCGTCCGGAGGAGGAGGAGGGCGGCCAAGGAGCCGCTGCTGCTGCCCGAGGACGACACCCGGGACAACATCTTCTACTACGGCGAGGAGGGCGGCGGCGAGGAGGACCAGGTGGGCACAGGGTGCTGAGCAGGGGTTCCSGGCCCGCGGCRCTGGATCCTGACCTGCCCCCCGGCTCGGTGCCGTCCCCGCGCAGGACTACGACCTGAGCCAGCTGCACCGGGGGCTGGACGCCCGCCCCGAGGTCACCCGCAACGACGTGGCGCCCCCCCTGAACGCGGCGCCCCAGTACCGGCCGCGTCCCGCCAACCCCGACGAGATCGGCACCTTCATCGACGAGGTGGGTGCCCCGCGCGCCCCGCGGCGCCGCCGCCCGCGCCCGCCCGCGCCCACCGCCCCCTCTGCGCCCCCAGAACCTGCAGGCGGCCGACACGGACCCCACGGCCCCCCCCTACGACTCGCTGCTCGTCTTCGACTACGAGGGCAGCGGCTCGGAGGCCGCCTCGCTCAGCTCGCTCGGCTCGTCCGCCTCCGACCGCGACCAGGACTACGACTACCTGCACGAGTGGGGCGGCCGCTTCAGGAAGCTGGCCGAGCTCTACGGCGGCGGCCAGGACGACGACTAGAGCCCCCCGGCGCCCCCTCCCCGTGCCTTGGGGCTGGGGCTGCCCCCCVTGCCCCCCATCAAGTGTCCTTGCTTCTCCCCCCATTTTCCTCCCTTTTGTTTTTAACGGATAAGAAGCAGYGTAGTGCAGAGGTAGCTCTGGGGTGATGGGTTGTGGGGATGTTTTAAATAAAGGATGTTTTTTTAGACCCCCCCGGTGTGCGGTGGCTCCGTGTGCCCAGCACTGCTCTTTGCTTTCCCTGCCCGCTGTTTGCTCGGCCCTGCCTGGACTTTGGCCCCAGCTCCCTGGAAAGGGGGGAGCTGCGGCATCAGCCGCCCCTCTGCTCCCCGCCGGGTTCCCCGGGGTCCCCGTTGGCACCACGGGCCCAGGTGGCTCCTCCTGCTGCAGCAGCGGGGGTGGCTGCGGCTCTGGGGGCTGCCCGGGGGGGGCACCGGCCCAGGCTGTGCCCAGCACCTGCCTGGGGCGCCCAGTCACTGCAACCTGTCCTGGCCCCTCTACCTGTCCTGGCCCCTCTGCCTTCCCCGGGTCCCACGGAGCTGCTGGGACATCCCTGCATTTCCTGGTGCATCCCTAGACCCCCACCAGGGCCTCTGCAGCTGGGCCCATCCCAGGACATCCTTGGACCCCTCCCAAGCCCCCTCAGGCTTGTCCTGCTGCCCCCAAGGCAGCCAGGGCTGCCCTGCGCCCCCACCAGCCTCCCGGGCACCCTCGACCTTGCAGAGCCCCCASGCGCCCTGGGGCCTCCTGAAGCCCCCCAGGACCTTGAGGAGGAGCCCCCAGCCCTTCCCTGGGCGCCTGCAAACCGGCCCGACCTCCCTGAGCCCCCAGGCCCCGGCGGGGACCCCCCGGGGAGCCCTGGGGGCCGGCGCGGGGCGCAGCGCCGCGCACGGAGCGGGGGCCGGGCCGGGCCGGCACCGCCTCCCTCGGGGACGGCACCTGCGGGGCGGGACGGGCCGGGACGGGGCGGGCGGCACCGATCCACCTGCGGCTCCGGCGGCAGCGCCCCGGCACCAGCGCCCCAGCACCGGCACCGCTCCGGCACCGGCACCGCTCCGCTCCCGGCACTGCAGCCAGCGGGTGTGCATCCCGCCAGCCCCGCGACCCGGCTCCCCGACCCCCTGCTCCACCGATGGGGCTGCCGAGGGGCTGCCCGGCCCTGCTGAGCCTCCTGCTGCTGCTCCAGGTGAGGGCTGGGGGGCACGGAAGGGATGGGATGGACGGGACGGGCTGGAGGGGCCCCGGGGCCGGCGCTGACGCTCTCTCCGTGGCGCAGGCTGGGACGCGGCGGTGCGACGAGGCCGGGCGCTGCCAGCCCRGCTTCACCGCCGACACCTTCACCCTGGTTGTGCCGCTGGGCAGCGTGGAGGCGGGCAGAGCGCTGGGCAGAGGTAAGGACGGGGACAAGGAATCGATGCCGAGGGGCGCGGAGCTGTGACGGGCTGGGTGTGCGGTTCTGAGGTGGGATAGACAGGGAGTCACGGCCCCATGGACAGGCTGGGTGTGCGGCTCTGAGCGGGGGACAGGCAGGGAGTCACAGCCCCACAGATGGGCCAGGTGCGCGGCTCCGGGGGGGCAGACAAGGAGTCACAGCCCCATGGACAGTCTGGGTGCGCGGCTCCGGTGGGGACGATGGGCACGGAGCTGTGGCTGCGCGTTTGGGTGCGGCGCTGATGGCGGCTGCGCCCGGCTCTGCAGTGGCGCCGGAGACGGAGCCGTGGCTGCGTGTCCGGCCGCTTGCCCGGTGGTCCCGTGCGGCTTTGGGGATGCAGCGCTGGGAACGGAGCGCTGGGGACGGAGCGCTGGGGACGGCGCACTGGGGACGGCGCGCTGGCCATGGCGCAGCGCAGGGTGCGGCGGGCGCCGCGCAGGCGCCGCGGGCCTGTCGGGACGTGCAGGCCTGGGCGGGGGCCGCGCCGGGGCGGCCGACGTGCCGGGACTCGCCGGGGGTCCCGCGGGCTCCGCGGGCCTCCGCGGGGGCGGCACCGTCGCCTTCCCAACGGGAAAGACCCGTCGGGGCAGTGTGGGCGCCGGGGGCCCTCGGGCAGCGGCCCCCGCGCGGCGCCTCGCACGCACCGCGCTCGTTAGCTTTGTGGCTGATGATTAACGAAGCGCTGGCCTGGACGGCGGTGCCAGGGYGACGTCCGGCCACATGGCCCTGGGCTGCCCTGCCCGGCTGGCGCCGTGCCCGGCCGGAAAGGCCCCGCTCACTGGGACCGGCGCGGAGCAGAGCTCCAGGGTGCCGCGCACCCAGCGCCGCTGCGGCTCCCACCTCCTCTGCGATTCYCGAGCTTTGTGATTCCCGAGCCCTGCGATTCCCAAGCCCTGTGTTTTCCCTTGGACAGGCCCATATCGGTGCGGCCGGTGAACACCTGCGCTGGGGSSGCGGTGGCCTTGGCTCGTGGCCTCCCCCAGCGCTTTCCCACGGCGCCGGCTGCCCGGTGCGCGCGGCTGTGWCGGGGCCGGTGCCGGTGCCCCGGAGCCGCCCCCGTGTCTGCGGCGCTCCCGGCTGCGCCCGCTCCTGACTCAGCCCCGCGCRGGCGAAGCCTCGAAAGTCTGAAGTCAGGGCGAAACTCGGGGTGACGTCAGTGGGCGCAGGCGGCTCTGGGCAGTGTGCGCCAGCCTTGCGCAACCGCGGCGCGGGCGGCAGCGGCCCCCACGGTGCCCGTGCCTGCAGTGCCTGTGTCCCCATGCAGCCCCCRTGGCCCGGGCGGCTGTTTGGGAGAGTTTGGTCACCCCGACGGCCGGGAGCGGTGGGCACAGCGTGGGGAGCCGGGCACAGGGGAGAGCACCGGGCTTTGCTCCAGTGCTCGTGCCCCTGTGCCGGAGCCCCCCGGCGCGACCCCCACCCGGGAGGCCGGGGCGCGCGGTGCTGCCGGGGCAGGTCCCGCTGGCCCCAGGGCCCGGYGGCGATTGGGCTGCCAGGGAGTTTTCTCGCAGCCGGAGCTGGAAAAACAGGTTGTGCACGGGGCTGGGGGAAGGGGCCAGGCACACCGAGCGCTCCCAGCCGGCTGCTGCGCCGCCAGGACGTGGGTGCTGAGCACTGGGCGCTCGCTGCATGCAGGCGGTGTGGGGCTGAGCACTGTGTGCTCATTGTATGTAAGCAGTGTGGTGCTGAGCACTGTGCGCTCATCACATGCAGGCAGTGTGGTGCTGAGCACTACGTGCTCGCTGCACGCAGGCGCTGCAAGACCAGGTGCTGATTGCTATGCACTTCCGCGTTTCCTGCACGTAGGCAGTGCGGTGCTGAGCACTGCACGCTCGCTGCACGCAGGCGCTGCAGTGCTGGGGGCCGTGCCCTCGCTGCACACAGGCAGTGCAGGGTCGGTGCTGAGCACTGCACGCTCGCTGCACGCAGGCGCTGCGGTGCTGAGGGCCGTGCCCTCGCTGCACGCAGGCAGTGCAGGGTCGGTGCCGAGCAGCGCCGAGCGCTGCTGCCCTGTCCCCGAGCCCTGCCCAGCCCTGTCCCCGCCGTCGCTGGCGCCTCCGTGCCGCTGCATTCCTGGGCTGCCGGGCGGCTGGGGTGGCTGTGCCGGCGGGACGGGTGCTGCGGGGCCGCGGCGCTGCGGGGCTGTGGCCACACAAAGGGCGCTTGTTTGGGTGCCGCGGCCACGCGCACGTGACGGGAGCGCGGCCAGGGTGCAGGGCGGGCGCCCTGCGGCGCGGAGTCCAGCGCGCTGTGGCCAGCGCCCTACCTGGCACTGCCAGCATGGGGGCCACAGGGGCGTCGGGTGTCCCCATGGAGACCCCKCTCCCTGCCTGCCCCTCTGCTGTCCCCCCCGGGCAGGGTGACGTGGCCCTGGCTGTCCCCGCTGCAAAGGGGCCCCATGCAGTCCCCAGCAGCCACGGCCCAGCCCYGCGGTGCTGGCACGGCCGTCGTGGCTGGTGCCAGCGCAGGTGCCAGGAACCTGCCCTTGTTTTCATTTGAAAAGGAGCCGCAGCAGCAGCTCCCTCTGCCCGCGGCCAGGGACACGGCACCCTGCGCCCGCGCTGCGGCTGTGCCGGGAATGCGCCGCGCTTGGTGCTGCGCCACAGGGTCTGCTGCGCACGGGGACGTGCTGTGCAGGGTGTTGCACGGCAGGGATGTGCCACGCACAGGGATGTGCCACGCACAGGGATGTGCCATGCACAGGGATATGCCATGCACAGGGATGTGCCATGCACAGGGATGCACCATGCAGGGTATCACACGGCAGGGATGTGCTGTTTAAGGTGGCTCATGTTGGGGATGTGCGTGCAGGCTGTTGCACGCTGCAGATGGGCCATGCACAGGGATGCGTGACATGCAGGGTGTCACATATTGAAGACGTGCCGTGCACAGGGATGTCCCACGCACAAGGATGCACCATGTAGGGTGCCACACGCAGGGACATGCCGCTCAAGGTGTCACACACTGGGGACGTGCTGTATGCGGGGCTGTGCCATGCAGCGTGCCACACACAAGGATGTGCCATTCAAGGTGTCACACGGTGGGGATGCGCCATGCGTGGGGCCGCTCCGCGCCCCGCGCGCTGCCAGCCCCGCTCAGCCGCTGTCCCTCCGCAGTGACCTTCGCAGAGTGCGCCGGGCCGCGGCGCGCGCCCATCCTGGCGGACGACTCGCGCTTCCGGGTGCGCGTGGACGGCGTCATCGTGGCGAAGCGGCCGCTGCAGCTCCACGGGCGCCACGTCACCTTCTCCGTGCACGYCTGGGACGCGGCGGGCGGCCGGCACTCGGCCCGCGTCACCGTGGGCGCGCGCGGGCAGCGGCGGCGGCAGGCTCCGGTAAGGCACCCGCGCGCACTCCCCGTGCCGCCCGCGGTGACGGGCGTGCGGCGGCTCTGCCCCGTGCACCGCGGCCCCCGACGAGCTGCCCGCCCTGCAGGACGCGGCGCCCGCCGTGCTGCTCTTCCCTGAGCCCGGCCACGGCCTCCGGAGGCAGAAGAGGGACTGGGTCATCCCGCCCATCAACTGCCCGGAGAACGAGCGCGGGCCCTTCCCCAAGAACCTCGTGCAGGTAGGTGGCACCTCCTGGCGCGCCGCGACGGCTCCGGCCATGCGGGACACCGGGCTGGGCTGCCGGGGAAGCTGCTGCTCCRTCCTGGCCGTGGCGCGAGGCTGAGGGCGTCCCCAAGGCCCCGGGACCCCGGAGCCGCTCCGCACGGGGCAGCGTCCTGGGGCAGGGACCCCAACCAGCCCTTCCACCGCCCTCCAGATCAAGTCCAACAAGGACAAGGAGASCAAGGTTTTCTACAGCATCACGGGGCAGGGGGCGGACACCCCCCCCGTGGGCGTCTTCACCATCGAGCGGGAGACGGGGTGGCTGAAGGTGACGAAGYCGCTGGACAGGGAGGAGATCAGCAGATACGTGGTGAGCCGGGCGCCGGGGCGGCCRCGGGGCCGCGTCCCCGTGCCACTCTGACCACGCGCCCCGCAGCTCTTCTCCCACGCCGTGTCGGCCAACGGGCAGCCCGTGGAGGACCCCATGGAGATCATCATCACCGTGACCGACCAGAACGACAACCGGCCCGTGTTCGTCAAGCAGGTCTTCATCGGCTACATCGAGGAGGGCGCCAAGCCAGGTACGGGGGCTGCCCGCYGGGGTCCTGGGCAGGACATGGGCACATGGGCAGGACATGGGGACGTGGGCAGGACGTGGGGACATGGGCAGAGCTGAGCACAGCACCAGCAGCCTTTGCCCCGCACATGAAAGCCCTCCTGCTCATCCCTGCGCCCAGGCACCTCCGTGATGACGGTGAACGCCACGGACGCGGACGACAGCATCAACGCGGACAACGGCATCGTGCACTACTCCATCCTCAGCCAGGAGCCGCCGCACCAGATGTTCACCATCGACCCCGTGAAGGGCGTTATCAGCGTCATCGCCACCGGGCTGGACAGGGAGGTGGGCGCCGCCGCCGGCCCCRCGCAGCGTGCCCAGGGCCGCACCGGCGTTGGCCGCRCGGAGCTGGGGACACCAGAGCCCTCGCGTCCGTCCGTGTGGGGACCTGCCACCGCTGCGTGGCCATCCCTGCCTTGGGGGCGTTGGTGGCCCTGAGCGCAGCTGGCCACGTTGCAGAGGGGCCCGGCCAAGGGACCCCGTGATGGTGGGGATGGCCGTGGACAGAAGAGGGTGGCCCGAGGGGGCTGTGCGGACAGGCTGGCCCCGGCGCTGCCCTCAGCACCGCGTTTGCCTTGCAGAGCACTCCCAACTACACCCTGATCATCCAGGCAGCCGATCAGGAGGGCAAGGGCCTGACCAACACGGCTACGGCCATCATCGAAGTGACCGACGCCAACGACAACACCCCCATCTTCGACCCCAACATGGTACCTGGCTCCTCTAGCCACGCTCGCTCCCRCGGGGCACCCCACTGCCCGGGCCGTGGGGCACAAACGGCACCACCATGGGCAGCCGGGACCACGCGGGGCACTGGGCCTGTCTCCTCTCTTGCAGTATGAGGGGACAGTGGAGGAGAACCAGGTTGGGGCGGTGGTGGCCCGCCTCACCGTGAGGGACGCGGACGTGCACGGCTCCCCTGCCTGGAGAGCCGTCTACCACATCAGGAGCGGGGACCCCAACGGCGACTTCAGCATCAGCACCGACCCCAAGACCAACAACGGCATCCTCAAGACGGCCAAGGTGGGTGGTGGTGGGCGACACCACGACTGGGACGGGTGTCCTCCCTGCGGGAGCCGGGGTGACCCCGGGGCTTCTCTCCTCCCGCCCAGGGCCTGGATTACGAGTTGAAGAACCGGTACGAGCTCGTGGTAGGGGTGGAGAATGAAGTGCCCCTGACCGTGTCGCTCCCCACGTCCACGGCCAGCGTGCTGGTCATAGTCAGGGACATGAACGAAGCGCCCGTCTTCGTGCCGCCCATCAAGAGGGTGGAGGTGCCAGAGGATTTGCCCGTGGGGCAGGAGGTCGCGTCCTACACGGCGCAGGACCCCGACAAGCAACAGAGGCAGAAAATCACGTGAGTGTGGGGACCCCAACGCGCCCCAGGGACCCGCACCAGAGCTGCTGCACCGGGAGCCCGTCCCGGCGCTGAGCCCACGTGTGCCGCAGGTACCGCATGGGCAGCGACCCCGCGGGGTGGCTGGCCATCGACCCCGAGAACGGCATCATCACGGCCACACAGGCCCTGGACCGCGAGTCGGCGCACGCGCTCAACAGCACCTACAAGGCCATCGTGCTGGCCGTGGACAACGGTAGGCGTGGGGCGCGTGCGGGGCGCACGCGGGGCACCGGGGCCGCCGTGCCGGCCGCGGCGCCGCTGACGCCAGGGCACCGCAGGGCTGCCGGATGCCACCGGCACGGGGACGCTGCTCCTCGTGCTGCAGGACGTCAACGACAACGGGCCCATGCCCGAGCCCCGCTTCTTCGACATCTGCAACCGGCAGCCCGAGGAGCAGCTGCTGACCATCGTGGACAAGGACCTGCCCCCCAACACCTACCCCTTCCAGGTGGGGCTGGAGCACGGCTCAGGAACCAACTGGACCGTCAGGATGGCCGGCCAAGGTAGGTGCCGCGGAGCAGGGCTGGAAGGGGCAGCCCGGGACGGGCTCCCAGCGCCGTCTCTCCCGTCGCAGACCAGCTGGCCCTCAGGCTGGTGAAGGAGCTGGAGCCGGGCGAGTACAGCGTCTTCCTGCGGCTGAGCGACAGCCAGGGCAAGGCGCAGGTGACCTTGGTGAAGGCCCAGGTGTGCGAGTGCGAGGGCGCYGCCAAGAACTGCGAGCGGCGAGCGTTCGTGGCCGGCGGGCTGGGCGTCCCCGCCATCCTGGGCATCCTGGGCGGCATCCTGGCGCTGCTCAGTGAGTACGGGGCGGCCGCGGGCGGGCCGGGCGCCGGCGCCGCGCTCACCCGCTCCCGCTGCCGCAGTCCTGCTGCTGCTGCTGCTGCTCTTCGTCCGGAGGAGGAAGGTGGTGAAGGAGCCGCTGCTGCCGCCCGAGGACGACATGCGGGACAACGTGTATCACTACGACGAGGAGGGCGGCGGCGAGGAGGACCAGGTGGGCACAGGGTGCTGAGCAGGGGTTCCCGGCCCGCGGCGCCGGATCCTGACCTGCCCCCCGGCTCGGTGCCGTCCCCGCGCAGGACTACGACCTGAGCCAGCTGCACCGGGGGCTGGACGCCCGCCCCGAGGTCACCCGCAACGACGTGGCGCCCNGGTGCCGTCCCCGCGCAGGACTACGACCTGAGCCAGCTGCACCGGGGGCTGGACGCCCGCCCCGAGGTCACCCGCAACGACGTGGCGCCCCCCCTGAACGCGGCGCCCCAGTACCGGCCGCGTCCCGCCAACCCCGACGAGATCGGCACCTTCATCGACGAGGTGGGTGCCCCGCGCGCCCCGCGGCGCCGCCGCCCGCGCCCGCCCGCGCCCACCGCCCCCTCTGCGCCCCCAGAACCTGCAGGCGGCCGACACGGACCCCACGGCCCCCCCCTACGACTCGCTGCTCGTCTTCGACTACGAGGGCAGCGGCTCGGAGGCCGCCTCGCTCAGCTCGCTCGGCTCGTCCGCCTCCGACCGCGACCAGGACTACGACTACCTGCACGAGTGGGGCGGCCGCTTCAGGAAGCTGGCCGAGCTCTACGGCGGCGGCCAGGACGACGACTAGAGCCCCCCGGCGCCGCCCGCCTCATTTCAGCCCCCTCGGACCCAGGCCGGTGCCGCCGCGGCCGAAACCCCCCGGGACGCCCCGTCCTCCTTCCGCACCGGTAAAGCTCCGGGTGGCAGAGCAGGGCGGGAGGGGGACCGGCGCTTCCCGCCCTGCCTCCCGCCCTGGCGCTGCCCATAGGAGTGCTCATGGTGTCCCCATGGTGTGGGTCCCCGTGCGGCCCAGGGTCCATCCCAACCCCTGCTTGCCCCAGGCTCTGCCCTGGGACGTGTCCCGGTGCCAGCCTGGCGTCGTCCCGGCCCGGACGCAGGAGCCCGTCGCTCCGGCCTCGCTCCACACATTTCCCCCCGGCCCTCCCACCCCAGCCCCCTTTGAGGTGCCGGATTCACCAGCAGGACACGGAGTGGTGCTGGGACGGCAGGCGCTCCGAGAGCCGCCTCGCAGGGAGGAATCCCGGCACGCTCCGGCTTTACGGGTACCGGGCGGCCACGTGCCTTCCTTCCGTGCTGTGGRATGCGTAATCCTCGTGCGGTTGATGACAACCCAATGGCTTCACTTCGATTCTGAACCGCGTGTTTAGCTGCCAGTGGACTTTGTACTTTTTATTATGGGAAAAGGGGTCAATGCGGATTAGGAGGCCAGCAACAGCCTACTGTTGATTTGATCATCTATTTTTATATAAAATCGACAGAATAAATTGTTTTAAGAAAACCGCGCGCTCGTTTCGGTGTGTGCGTAGCTCAGCTCTCTGACACGCCATGCCGGCTCCAGGGCCCCAGCGGGGCGGCGGGACAGCCCGTCCTTGCCGTGTCTCCACCAGCAAGAGCCAAGGGCTCATTCATCCCGCCGCCTGGGTGGGATATTAGGCGAGGATATTAGGTGAGGGTGGGATATGCGTGCCCTGCGGCGGGCACTGTGCATGGAGCGGAGCCCTGCGCCCTCCCAGGAGGCGCAGGCGGCGGCCGGAGGACGGGTCTGCGCTGCGGTGTCCTCCGCGCGCCCGGCGCGGTGACTAAGAGACCCACAGGGCAGGCGGCRGCGCGAGGCTGTGACTAAGAGACGTGTCACCAGGCGGGACCGGCGGCGGCACCGAGACCGGGGAGGACACACGGGCCGTGCCGCACGCAGCAGCACAGCCGGGGCAGCGTCGCAAGCAGCACGAGCCTTGCAAGGTGGCCAAGCTCTGCAACGTGCCCAGCGTCGCGGCGCGGGCGCCGGTGGCTGCCCCACGTTCTCGCCTCACCTCTCCCCTTCATCAAGGGACTGCACCATCGGCCCCATGGCAAAAGGCTGAGCGGGCCAGGCCTGCTCAGGCGGGCCGGAGCGAGAGGGCATCTGATCAGCACRCACAAATACCTGGGGCGGGGGTGAAGAGGATGTGGCCGAACTCTCCTCGATGGTGGCCAGTGATAGGACAAKGGGTAATGGGGACCAGCTGAAACACGGGAAGTTCTAGTGGCTCCCTGTGAGGAAGAGCTTCCCTCCCGTGAGGGTGCCAGGGCCCTGGCACAGGCTGCCCAGGGAGGCTCCTGCTCTGGGGATGTCCCAACCCGCCGGGATGTGACCGGGTGCCCCGTGCCCTGGGTGTCCCTGCTGGGGCAGGGATTGGACTGGATGATCCCTAGAGGTCCCTGCCACCCTCAGCCATTCTGTGGCCCTGCACGGCAGCCCCATCGGCTGCCGGGCACCATGGAGGCCTGGCGGCCCTTGCCCCATCCGGGCTTCTCCTCGCCTCTGYTTGCTGGGAGAAACACTGGTGGGGAATCGTTCACCATGATCCAAACAGGATGGGGARGAATGGCTCCCCATGACACAAGGCTGTCGTCTGGCCACCCCCACAAAACAATGGAGGSAGAGTTTGCACATCCCCATCCCCAGAGAACCCCCGAGCACCCCTGAGTGTGGGCACGGGGAAGGACCATCCATATCCAGTGACGGGGCCGGTAGAACCGGGCACCCCAACATGGCGCCGCGGGGCCGCCCCCGCGCGGCGTCGGGACCGCGCTCGACCCTCCCAAAATGGCGCCGGCGCTGGCGCCCAAGATGGCGACGGGCACCGCCCGCTACTCCGCCCCTCCCAAGATGGCGGCGCGCGGGGCGCGGCCCCTCCCTCCGTCAGCGCCGTGCCAAGATGGCGGCGCCCGCGCGGCCGCCGTGCGGCGCCATGGCGGCGGCCGTGCCGGTGGAGCGCGTCGTGGAGGCGCTGGAGCTGCTGCTGGGGCGGCCCGCGGGGGACAACGACGACGAGGAGGAAGAGGCTGAGGAGGGCGCCTGGGCACCGGAGACGCTGCGGAGCAACGTGCGGGCGCTGGAGGAGCGTCTGCAGCGGGAGCCGGGCTGGGCGGCGCTGCGCGGCCTGCGCGCCGCCGTGC